AATCAATATCATCAAAATGTCCATTCTCCCAAAAGCAATTTACAAGTTCAATGCAATACCAATCAAAATACCAAAGTCATTCTTCAAAGACCTAGAAAAAACGATGCTGAAATTCATATGGAGAAACAGGAGACCCAGAATAGCTAAAGCAATCCTTTACAATAAAAACAAGGCCGGAGGCATCACAATTCCAGACTTCAAAGCATACTACAGGGCAGTTATAATCAAAACAGCCTGGTACTGGTACAAAAACAGATGGATAGACCAATGGAACAGAATAGAATCACCGGAGATCAATCCAAACATCTGTAGCCAACTCATATTTGACAAAGGACCTAAAACCAACCCCTGGAACAAGGACAACCTCTTCAACAAATGGTGCTGGGAAAACTGGATGTCCACATGCCGCAGTATGAAGCAAGACCCCTACCTTACACCTTATACAAAAATCCACTCAACATGGATCAAAGAACTAGAGTTGTGCCACGACACCATGAAACTAATTGAGAGCATAGGGGAAACCCTTCAAGATATCGGAATAGGCGAAGAATTCCTGGAGAAGACCCCACAGGCACGGGTAATCAAAGATAAAATAAACAAATGGGATTACCTAAAATTGAAGAGTTTCTTAACAGCAAAGGAAACAGTCAGGAAAGCGAAGAGGCAACCAACAGAATGGGAGACATTATTCGCAAACTACACAACAGATAAAGGATTAACAACTAGAATCTACACAATGATCAAAAAACACCACAGAATCAAAACAAACAACCCAATAAAAAAAATGGGCCAAGGACCTTAACAGGCATTTTTCAAAAGAGGAAATCCAAATGGCCAACAGGCACATGAAAAAATGCTCAGGATCCCTAGCCATCAGGGAAATGTAGATCAAAACCACAATGAGATACCACCTCACTCCGGTTAGATTGGCTTACATACAGAAATCAACCAACAACAGATGCTGGTGAGGATGTGGAGAAAAGGGGACACTAATCCACTGTTGGTGGGAATGCAAGCTGGTAAAGCCACTATGGAAGACAGTCTGGAGAGTCCTCAGAAACCTGAACATAGCACTACCACAGGACCCAGCCATCCCACTCCTTGGAATATACCAAAATGGAATTAAAGGGGTGAAAAAAGCCATTTGCACCTCAATATTTGTTGCAGCTCAATTCACAATAGCTAAGACATGGAATCAACCTAAATGTCCATCAACGGATGACTGGATAAAGAAACTATGGGATATGTACTCTATGGAACACTATACAGCAGTAAAAAACAATGAAATCCGGGCATTCACAACAAAATGGAGGAAGCTGGAAAACATCATGCTGAGTGAAATAAGCCAGTCCAAAAGGGATAAATATCACATGTTCTCCCTGGTTGATGGCAACTAAACGAGCACCTAAAATGATACCCATTGAAGTGAAATGGACACTATGAGAGACAATGACATGAGCAGCCCTTGTCTAGACTGTTGAGGAAAAACTATTTTGTTCCTTTAGTATTTTTGTTGTTGTTGTTGTTGCTCGGTATGCTCTACACAAGACCACTGGTTGAACTCTGCAATCAATGCACAACCATTCTTAAGCGTTTAAAAATTAATAGGAAATTGATCTCTGTGGAACATGGGAGTGGGAATAAGAGAGGGAGGAGATATATAGGACGGCACATACTCAATCAGACCTATCTCCAATGGTGGAACTGGAAATGTGCCAGGGGATTTCAACTCAACCTTACCAAGGAGGCAGGTACCAATGCCAGCACACTTGGTAAAGAGACAAATATAAATACACAACTGATCCAAAAGATAGGGTAAGTGTCGAAGAGATTACACAAATAAGACCAGTGTAAGCAAATAATGAAAGATAGAATCAAAAGGGTTGAGAATGATCCTGCGGGGGAAGCAGGTCACACAGCAGACTCATAGAATGGCAAATGCCCAAAACAGCACTCCTGCCTCAGAATCAACCCTTGGGACATTCGGATCTGACTAAAACGTCCATGAGAGTCTCGCAGGCATGGAAAGCCATGACACGGTGGCAAAAAACAATCTAAATGAAGGATCCTGGCGAACAACACTCCAGCAGAAGGATCAGGCCATCAAGGAGAGAGGCACCTTTCTCTGAAGGGAGGAAGGAACCTCCACTGTGATATGGCCTTGACTAAACAAATTCAGAGTTGGTGAAGTCAAGGGGCCTCCATAGCCTAGACAGCTCATAGCAAGAGTCTCGGGTGATTGCTGACGTCATAAATAAGAGTGCCAATTGTTAAATCAACAACGGGAGTCACTGGGTTCATGCTCCCCTCGCAGGATCTCTGTCCTTAATATGTTTATCTATGAAACTCAAAAACAACACTACTAGTCGAACAATACCCTATACCTGGTTCGGTTGTGTGAGTGCAACCTGATGAAATCCCTGCTTAGTATATACTAAATTGATCTTCGGTATATGAAGGTAACCGAAAATGAAACGTGATGAAGGGGGGAGAAGGGAGAGGAAGTGGGTGAGGGGAGGGCCACGGGAGGGAGGGAGGTCGGGGGGAAGCCACAACAATGCAAAAGATGCATTTTATATTCTACTTAAAACTATTGGTTGAGCTCTGTAATTAATACACAATTACTCTTAGGTGTTTAATTAATGCTATAACTAGTACTCAAATAGTATTTTACACTTTATATTTCTGTGTGGGAGCAAAATGTGGTAATCTTTACTTAACATACGCTAAATTGATCTTCTGTATATAAAGATAATTGAAAATTAATTGTGATGTGAAGGGGAAGGGAAGAGGGAGTGGGAGAGGGGAGCGTTGTGGATGGGAGGGAAGACACGGCGGGGGGGGGGGGGGAGGAGGAGGCTATTGTGGTCCATAAGCTGTACTTTGGAAATTTATGCTCATTAAATAAATTAAAAAAAATTTTTACCTTATTTTAGTGTTAAGGAAAAGCCACTGTTGGGTTTTAAGCAGATACATGATAAAAACAGATTCATTGTTTAGAGAGATGAAGGAAGAGAGAGAAGGTGAGAGAAAGAAAGAGAGACAGGAAACGATCTTCCATTTGCTAGTTTGTTTTCTGGATGGCTGCAGCATCCAGGTCTGGATTAGGCCAATGCCAGGAGCCAGGAACTCCATTCTGTTCTCCCACATGAGTGGCAGGGGACAAAGTAATTTGTCATCATCCACTGCCTTCCCAGGCACATTAGAACAAAGCTGGGTCAGAAATGGAAGAGCCAGGACTTGAGCTGGCACTCTGATATAGGAAGCTGGCATTGCAAGTGGTGGCTTAACTCACTGTGACACAATGTTGGCAGAAAGAATTAATCTTGATTATTTCTGAGATGAGTTTTGTCAAGGACACACATTACCATCATGTCCAGAACTCCTTTAGGCTTACTAGTCCTCATGGGATGATTGTTGTTCTTAAGGGACTGGAGAAGAGGGTGACCACATTTAGGGCAGCTTTATATTGCAATGGCTTTCTCTGAAAGAGCAATTTTTATTCATGATAAAATCAGTAGAGCTGATTGCACACGTATTCATGGATCAGTATGCCATACCATCTAATACTTCCCTCAAATCAGATATTATAATGCATAAATTCTCTGTGCATTTAAATGTAAATATTTAATATATAAGGCCTGCCTTGCCTGATATATTAAATGCAAGAGCCAGCCCCACAGAATTTGATGTCTCACTGTTTTTTCTTTCTCATTTTATTCTACCAACTCCCTTGTTTACTAGATGTGACTTTAATCTGACTGATGGATAGTGTTCTTTTCATGGAAGATTCCAGTATCACACTGATACAGGGATTTTACTTGTGATCTCCTTGGCCTTAGTGGCAGTTCATTCAGATTTTCTATGGCAAGATTCTTCCTCAACTTTTAGGATCTATCTCATCTCTTGCCTCCTCAGAAAAGACTTCTAAATATATTACTCAATGTTGTCTTGTGTTCTGTTATTTTACTAAGTGTCTTGCATTTGTTCTCTATCCCATTATCCTTAATTATATATATATATTTTTCAAAGATTTGTTTTTTTATTTATTTGAAAGGCAGAGTTACAGAGAAAGGAGGCGACACAGAGAGGGAGAAGGAAAGGGAGAGAGAGAAGGGGAGAAAAGGGGGTGGGGAGAGAAAGAGAAAGTCTTCCAGCCACTGGTTCACTCCCAACTTACTGCAATGACTGGGCTGGGCCAGGCTAAAGCCAACAGCGTGGAGCTTCTTCAGGTCTCCATATGGGTGTAGGAGCCTAAGCACTTGGGCCATCTTCTGCTGCTTTCTTTCCTAAGCGCATTAGCAGGGAGTCGGATCAGAAGGAGAGCTTCCATGTCTTGAACCAGCACCCATATAGGATGTTGGTACAACAGGCAGAGGCTTAACCAGCTGCAACACAATGCCAGCACCTAATTATATTTTTATATCACTTATAAGCAAAGGAAAATTAAAGTGTTTATTTCTGAATGAGGTACAATTGTTACTGCTCAGATCAATCAAATGGATGTTCACTGTAAAACTCCTATTCAATAATTTATGAGACATATTTTTAGTCAGAACCCAGGAATTTGATATTATAATTGCCTTTATGTATGTATTTGTCATGTATACTTTATGCTTTTTAAATTTGGCTTTTTGAGATTTGAATTGAAATTAAAATTTTATACCATTTATAAGCATTCACTTTGTTTAGACATTTATATATGTACAGCAGTTCACAAATCACATTGTATTATTTAATATCTCCAATATAAGATACATGGTATAAGATATAATATTAGCTATATAGCTAATATTCACTTGTGAATCACGTTCTTTTACACAATCTATGTATCTCCCTTCTTAATATTTCAAACATATTAAATACAATTTAAATTTCAATGAATCAAAGTTGATTCTGTCCAAAATTTGATATTTTTCTCTCTGTTAGAAAAGCTGCTATTATTATGGTAAGTTGCATGACTGACTGATACCTCCTTCCTTCATTTTCAATGTTTTCAGGAAGAACCCTATGTTCTGTTTAAGAAGTCTGACAAACCTCTCTATGGAAATGATCGGTTTGAGGGTTATTGCATTGATCTCCTCAGAGAGTTATCAACAATCCTTGGGTTTACATATGAAATTAGACTTGTGGAAGATGGAAAATATGGAGCCCAGGATGATGCCAATGGACAATGGAATGGAATGGTCCGTGAACTAATTGATCATGTAAGTCCCTTTTCCCATCATTTATTACCTCTGGTAGATTCATACAAGATTTACTTTTTTTTAGATGTTTGTGGCTTAATAATTACAGAGTATGATATATTTTAAGCATGTATGTTTCTTTCATTAGTTTTATTGAAAGTACGTCTCATTGTTGTCATTAAGTATAACAAATCTAAGAGGGGGGCTGGAACTGTGGCATAGTGGGTAAAGCCACCATCTACAGTGCTGTCATTCCATATGGGCACCAGTTCAAGTCCCGGCTGCTCCACTTCCGATCCAACTCTCTGCTATGGCCTGGGAAAACAGTGGAAGATGGCCCAAGTCCTTGGGCCCTAGCACCTGTGTGGGAGACCTGGAAGAAGCTCTTGGTTCCTGGTTCCTGGCTCCTGGCTTCAGATCGGCCCAGCTCTGGCCATTGTGCCCATTTGGGGAGTGAACCAGTGGAAGGAACATATCCCTCTCTCTCTCTCTACTCTTTCTCTGCATCTGTATCTCTGTAACTCTGCCTTTCAAATGAATAAATATTTTTGTTTTTAACAAGAATCTTAGAGAAACATATTTCTACTAGACAGTGTTGTCTACCAGAGACAACTAATAATCATTAGTATCTGGTGATTTGCTTTCTTGAAATAGTTGCTCTTAATTTGTAAATCGGGATGTGATTTTCCAACTGTGAATTTATTCATTACTTTTCTAATGCTAAGATCCTAATCAACAGAACAAATAAATTATTGCAAACTCAAAATTCATTATAAAAATTTATGTACTTCTCACTAGAAGAGAGATGAGACAATCATATTTGTATGAAAAAAAAGCATAGAATAAGATACTGTTTAAAAAATAAAAGAGGTGTTGGCATTGTGGTACATTGGGTTAAGCCAATGCCTATGATGCTAGCAACCCATATGAGCACCAGCCAGGAGTCCCTACCGCTACACATCAGATCCAGCTCCCTGCTAACATGCTTGGGAAAAGCAGCAGATGGCTTAAGTATTTGGGCCCATGCCACATATGGGAGATTGGATGGATTTCCAAGTTCTTGGCTTCAGCCTGGCCTAGCCCCAGCCAATGCAGCCATTTCGGGGGAGTGAACCAGTGGATGGAAAATCTGTCTGTCTTTCCCTTTCTCTCTCTCTAACTTTGCCTGTCAAATAAATTCAATAAATCTTTTTCAAAAATTTAAAAAAGAAGAAAAAAATATAAGAATATTAAGCATTTTTGACCTAGAGGATAGGTTTTTAAAAATTTTAATAAGCCAGTTCTTCTATATTGGCCAGAAAATACTATTTTCACATTTTTCAGTTGGTGGTATCAATTAATTCATCACTTGGAAAGAAATTATATTTGTTAAATAGTGTAGCATTGTACTTGACTTTGTATTTTGCCAGATTAAAATTTATTTTGATATTTTCAGTATTATTAAGGCATGGAATTACTAAGATTAGAATTCTACAAAATAATACAAATAATTTCACTTTAAAAGATACTGTGAAATGTAACCTTAACAAAATTTCTTACCAATGTAAGTAGCAAATATAGGCAATTTCACAATAATTTGGAAAATATAAATACAATGTAAAAATATTTTTAAAACTCTCCTTTCTTCAAATGTTTAGCAGATTTGTTTTAATGCTGTGGAATTTAGTAAATAAGGTCCTGAATTCTAGACTTGATCAGTTAATTCTTATAAATTCTTCCTAAAGCATCATTTATATTTGAATTTTGTAAAGTCCATTAGAAGTAGATAAAAATATTAGAACATAAATGTAAATGATTTGTAACCAAACTTCATATTATTTGCTATTGACATAGCTCTAGCTAACAGAAATATAACTGAAGATAATTTGAGTGAAAATTATTTATTGTTTTGCATCATTTTAAGTCTAGAGGTAGTACGTGGCCATGGGTATATTCAATCAGGTATCAAGATTATTTTTAATTTTTCCTTGATTTCACCTCTACTTCCCTGTATTTGTTCTAGTCATAGGCATGTATTTTCCAGAAGATGGTAAAAAAAAAAAAAAATTACTGTCAGCAGTTTCATCATCCATGCAGCTTTTTTCAGATAATTTCATAAAATAACCCCAAATTGGTTTCAAGGGCCTGACAATGGTTGTGAACTGCCTCCTGAACAAATGATTCAATTGAGAGGGAGTTGGTGTTATCATGTATTCTGGGGTATGGATTCGCTCACATAAGAACTCAGGATGCGTGTTCTGAAAAATATGAATCTCCTGCCATCATGGAACCAGTGATATGAAGCATCCTCTTATCTAGTATATCCACCTGTGTACTCTACCTGCCCAAGTAGACGTTTAGTAGATGTTTAGCAGAAATCATGGTTGTCAGATAGATTGTCATGGAATTACAATATTTGTCCTCAAGTAAACTTATTTTACTTAGAATGCCCTCAAAAAGGAAAAGTAGTGATACTGGCAACTTGGATATGCCTAAGAAAGCTGAGAAATACTTCCTTTGAATGAAAAAGTGAAAGTTTTCCATTTAATAAGGAAAAATAATATGCTGAGCTTATTAAAATCTATAGTACAAAAAAAAATCCTCTATCAGTAAATCATGAAGAGGGAAAAACTGTGCTACTTTACTGGTATAGTTCAAGCTACAAAATTAGTGATACAATATGTGATAAGTACTTAGGTAAGGTGGAAAAAGCATTAAATCAATGTGCATTTGTATAAGCAAAAAACTAGTATAAGTAGGGTTCACTACTTTCCATGGTTTCAGACATCCACTGGGGGTCTTTGGAGCTCTCAGTATTACTGTGGGTATTTTTAACTTAATTAACCCATTTTTTTGTGAATGACAATTTTATATTAGAATAAATTAAACATAGGAAGTATAAAGAAATTCACTGTTAGATAAGCAGTAGACAATATAAAGAAAGTCAAAAGATGTGTTTAGGACACAAACAAAGCATTGTTATCCATTTGTTTTGAAATACACTATATAATATTTTTAAAAATTCATAATAGTCATTATAGGGAAAAGCAAAACATTTTTTGGCTTCCTGATACTTATTTTATAGTTTGTAACTATGTTAAATATGAATCACATATAAGACTGAAAATTAAAAGATACATACTCCTTGCATAAATTCTTGAGAATCAAAATCTAGCACTTCTTAAATATGTTTTTTGAAATAAATTTTGCCAGAAGACATTATTGGGTAAAAATCAAAATATTAACAATATTTGTTCTACTTTAGAGAAAGTAAAGAAGCAAAATACCCTAAGACTCCCAGTGGATATCTGAAACCATGTACAGTGCTGCACAATAAATGTACTATGTTTTTGCCTATACGAATATATATATATATATAACTTTTATATATGTGAGTTGCTTTTAAAAGTGTTTAACTCAATAGGTATTTAAATCAGACTCTACTATGAGTTTTCAAATGATTGGTGACCTGGATCATTCTGTTTCAGGTTTGTTGGTAAGTTATAAACTTTTAGTATATGTGCCATCAAAGCAAGCACAGTCATAATCGTTTTATAACTTTTATTGGTTGTTTGATTAGAATCCAAATTAAGACACTATTTTGTCATATTATTTCACTGCTTCAATGGTCCTCTGTTTTGTTGTTTATATTTGGTAACATTTATATGCTTCAAATATGTTGAAAATACCTGGGAGACATAAATAATACCAGTGCAGAAAATATTCAGCATCCTAAAATATTTTTGGAAGAATGATGCAAATGTTTCTCTATATTCCACAGCAAATGTTAAACTCAAGTATCATGATCCTTAGAGAGTAGCCTACAGATTTCCAAATGCTTTGATTCTTACTGGGACCTTTGAAAGGTCCCAATGGAGATATCTGCTCTAGGACCCAATGAAAAAATAAACAGTGCAATATATTTATCTTGAAATTAATGTAAAACAAGTTTTTATACGGTATCACTTTTTCATTCTTGAAAGCAAGCTAAGATAAATGAGACTGACATAGTAAAGATGAGAACACAGAAATTTGCTAATGCAACCATTTAATTAAATTGTCCATAAATTTTATTTGTAGCTTGCGTTATGTATTCTTTATAGCTCATAACTCATTTATGAGTTCACAAGACAACTGTTGTATATTATTCATAAAAACAGTGAGAATCATTTGTTAGCATGAGCAAAGACCCCTAAGCTTCAATAAGCTAGCACATATGATTATGGTACTATGTAACAAGGGCAGTTAAATCAGTTGCAAATATCTAGTGATGTTGGCTTGGCATATTTAAACTTCAGAAGGTTTAAAATTTTAAATATCCATAGATGAGCTAATAAGTAACTAGATGACTCTTTGTAGATGCAAGTTAAAAATAATCTTAAATATGTCCCCACCTTCCAGTGTTTCACCTACCAATCTACTTCAAACCTTTGCCACACATCAAGTCTTTATTATTCATTCCCTGTACCTGACATCTTTAGAATCCCAACTACATTTTATAGTCAGACTTTTATTTAATCACTAGTGCTCTCTCAAATCTTTCCCACTGAACGCATTGGAGACACACTGAATGATTAAAATACTCATGTTGACAATTTCTATCTCAATGTCCTCTAACACCTCGTGGCTTATGAAGTCCCCAGTTTTCACCTTGTCATCAGTTGAAAGTTCATCTCAAAATTTTCATGTTGGGGCCGGCTCAAAAGACCTTTCATAACCATTACATTCCTCTAAAGAGCCTACCTTTTGGTCACTGTAGAATTACTACTTACAGAGCTTAATCATAGACATTCCTTATAAGTTGAAAATCGGCATCCTTGCATCTATAACAAAATATAAACCCCAGCTGAAGTAAAATTTTCAAAAAACTCTTAGCCAGTGTTCTCTGGAAATTCCATGACTTAGTGTCCTGATGCTGATAAAATGTGTAAAGGAATACTGTATGCACTCACTAGAGAAATCTGTAAGGGTGCTTCAAAAAGTTAATGGGAAATAGAATCAAATATATATTTAGGAGTGGACTTTTAGCCTATTTATTAAGA